CATTCCTGGGTCACCATCGAGAGCACAGAGGGCAAAAGAATCCAAAATCAACAACTCCAAAAAATCCCACTCCCACACTCTTTGTTATTAAGGTTATATATTTTGATTTCTATGTGTTTGTGTCAGCAGTTTAAAAAGCTGTACTTTCCTCAACAAATCTTTTTGTGGGGCGCTTTTGGATGGTACACTGACATCATGGTATAATTCCTCGAGGAAAGAGTTACCTGAATCTTGATTCACACCAGATTTCACTGTAAGTCATTTGCATTCTGTAGTTATTCAGGAGGAAGAATAACCACTATGAATCATTTGCTGTTAGCAAAGATATGCACTTCAGTGAGCCAGAAAAGACTCAGTAGGTGCCAAGAGCTCTAAGGTACAGTGTTGTTTTATGTCATGTTTTATGTCATGATCATTATGAATAGCACCTAACATCTCACTGTATCTCTTTTCTCTTTGCTGACCTTTGGTGTAATATTATTGGGCCCAACACTTAGAAAAATTGTATTAGGAAACTATAACTCCTAGAATACCTCAGGCCTCATCTACACTGCCATATAATTCAGTTTCTCATCCCAGATTATCTGCTTTGAACTGGGTTATATGATAGGATAGACTTATATAATCCAGTTCAAAGCAGATAATCTGAGATGACTGGATTATATGGCAGTGTAGATCCAGCCTCAGTTGGTGCAGTCATCAAGCATTCTAACTGGGCAATTCTGGGACTATAGTCACCTCCCAACAACTCTCCCTCCGTATCATTGGATGCTGAGCAAATAGGATGTTGAACTGGATAAGCCTCTGGTCTGGCTGAGTACAATGCCTGTTATGTACCCTGGTTAAGACTGTAAAACAATTTTATCAATATAAATAGGCCCAGATAATTTATATATTTCTTCAGGCTGTTGGCTAGAAATATGCCTTTCATTAAATTACATTTATTTACAAATATGCATTTTAGAAACAAAAAGTAAGAAATTTTACTTAATGCTATTCTGTTGTCATTGCATTCATTGGCAAATGAGGACAATATATGCTTGCTTTGGTATTTGTTGGGCACCATTTTTCTTCTCTCCATAAAATTCAGCTTGAGCAAATACGTATTTGTCCACACATTTATTTAAAAGCCAACTTCTCCCATAAATTTTACTCCTTCTGAGCCACTTTCCTAAGAATAAAATGAGCAATATGAGGAGTTTCTCTTGGTCACTTAATTCCTTCAGGAAATATATCTCCAGGAAAAGACAGATAGATGCCAATGAAAACACAGTGGCAACTTTAAATAAAATGAAGGAGGTGAGGTGGAGATGTTTAGTTACCATAATTTTCAATTCTTTCTGTTTTTACATTTCAATTGAGCACTTGGATGAATTACAACATGCAATCTGTAAGTGGATCACCCCTGCTCCCCAAAGTGGAACATTTAAATACAGTCCATCATCAACATGAGGAATTTTGCCAAAGCTGTTATGACTGCATGAAAAAGCATGCCTTCCCACACATCAGCTTTGTCACAATTGCTTCGGCACATGTCTGTGAAGAGCGGTTTGACTACAGCCAACCACACTGGCATATGTGTGAGCAAAGCCAAACCTGAGCAGAGGTGATGTTTACCTGGGGAAGGTGGTAGGGCGAAAAATTTAATGTTTTTTTTGGCACTGAGGGAAATGATAAGAAGAATGTCAAGATGTTGATAGAGGCTTGATTTATTTGCTGATTTAGGCATGGGTTTTCTTAGTTCTCATACTATGATGCCCTCCGTGAACTTGCTTGCTCGGTTTTTGTCACACAGGATGAAATTGAAACAAAGAATGCCGCACAAGGTTGTGGGGAGAGACATGTTTCATGATCCTACAGTGCAAAACCTCATCATAAAGCAAATGAGCAAGGAACATATAGGTCAAACCACTTCACAAATGCGCCTCTGTTTAAAGACCTCTAAAGGAGAGTCCTCTTTCTAAAACAGTCTATCCCACTGTAGAAACAGAAATTTACTGACAGAACCTCTTAAAAATTAGGTGAAATCTCTTTTAAAATACTTGGTTGATGTTTTGCCTTAGTCACTGAAGCAACAGAAAAGAAACTCATGTATTTTATATAGGACATGCCTTCAGATATTTAATGAAGGCTGTCATGTCACCATTCACTCTTCTCCAAGCTAAACATATCTAGTTCCTTCAGCCATTCCTCATTAAGTCTCGGCTTTTAGACTTTTTAACTATTTTGGTTGCTCTTCTCTAGAAATGTTCAACATGCTTCTTGAATTGTGCTGCCCAGAACTTGATGCAGTACTCTACTGATATTTTCGTTGAGGTCTGACCCTTGTAGAATATGACTTCCTTCAATCCGTATACAATTATTGATGTAGCCTAGAATTACATTGACTTTTTTTTACCACAGCATCATGCTGTTCTCTGATATTTAGTTGTGATCTATTAAGAGCCTCTAGGTCCATTTCATACATATTGTTGTCAAGCAAGGCCTTTCCCATTCTATATACAGGCAGTCCCCGAGTTACAAATATCTGACTTACAAATGACTCATATCTAAGAATGGGGTTTAGACAAATGGAAATAAGAGAAATTTGCCCTAGGAAGGGAAATTCACTTCTGGGAAAGTTATCATGGGGGAAGGTTGTCTCCATTAAAGCTTTATCACCAATCCTTGTTTCCACAAGCAATTTTTTCAAAATCCAGTTATCACAGGGACAGAAAGTGAGGGGCACAGATAGCAAAACAAACATCACAGGGGTGTTAAGCCTTCCCATATCAAAACTACATTTTAATGGCTGGCCAGAATGCTAAGATAACACACCAAATGGCCCTTTTTCTACATAAAGCAACGCAGCTGAGAATTGTATATTTGGAGGCGATTGGGGTAAACTGTAGGGGTGATGCAGATATCTGAACTGGATTGGGATTGTGTAATAGCTGGCCTATTTTAATCTTTGTTTTAACCTTCGTCCTTAACTTCTGTGATATGAAGTTTTACCTTAGCAACTTAATGAGGATGATGATATTTTTAATCATCTTTAACTTTTAACTTAATAAAGTTTTAATTGTATTTTAATGTATGTTCACTAGTACAGGAGTTTTAGGACAGTGATTAGTGTCTATTTGTGTATTTTCTTGTTTTTGTCTTTTACTGTTGATATGGTCAGTGGACTAATCAAACTTTACTCTCCTTGAGCCTTCCCTATGCAATCCAAAAGGAAGATGGATATAGCTGGAGTTACACTTAAGAATGTAGCTATTCTGATTTACAAATACCAACCTACAGAATCTATCTTGTTCGTAACTTAGGGACGGCCTGCATTTGCATTTCATTTTTTCCTTCCTGAATGTACTTGTTTTTGTTGTGTGCCTTCAAGTCATTTCCGACTTATGGCTACACTAAGGTGAAGATTTCTGAAGCGGAAAGTGTGGAACTCACCCAAGGGCACCTAGTGGGTTTCCATGGCCCAGTAGGGAATCTTAGTCCCCAGGGTCATAGACCAATGCGCAAATCACATAGTACGTTATGCATAGCATCCAGATTGGTGGTTATGAGGTTCACACTACTTAGAACCTATTCTTTAGTTTTGTTACATAATAGCTGTCCCATTTCCTGGCTGGCCAACTGAAGCTAGATGGGATCTAGGCACCTTTCCAACATTGAAGTGGCATCCCATGTCATCATACTATGTTGAGTAGCTGGGGAACCTGGAAATCCAATACAGTAAATGTTGTATGAGCTGTGTTTTGCCTCATTATTACTCTTGGATTTCAGCCAGAATGAGAAACTGTAACCACAGGCTTATTTGAGCCGAGTTTTAGTCACCATGTTTAGTTTATATATTGTTTAATGAAAGGTGTTTGTTCCAGCATTCCTGTTTATTTGTCCTGGCTGCCAAGGGCTTTGTCAAAGCAGTTAAGGAAAATATTTTAGGAAACAGTGGCAGCAGACTTTTAGTAAGGAGTTGAAAACTATATTAGTATCCTCTACTGCTGAGGAATGAAGTCAAGTGAAGAGGGATGATCAGCATTCTGCTCAGAGACCTTCACTGACAATTTCTGCGACACGAACCCTTTCTTGATTGATTGCAATAATTTCTCAACTGTTTGCTTGATTTATCTACTAGCTTTCTTCAAGATGGCTCACAACAAGAATACGGGGAAGATATAAATAAAAACACAAGAAGCAATCATACTAATATGGCTATATGGCCATCTGTCAGAAGTGCTTTGATTATATGTTCCTGTATGGTAAGGGGTTAGACTGGATGGCCCATGTGGTCTCTTCCCACCTCTATGATTCCAAAATTCCATGAAAAGTCTTTGAAATTAGTATGAGCATGGCTGGTGAAAGTTACATTTTTGAGCTATAACTCCAGTATTCCAAGCTAGCAGCTGAACTTCAGGCTCCAGGATTTTCAAGGTCTGAGCCAAGAACTGCATATTGACAAAGGTTGTCAGTGAGTTACACCAATTTCAATTTTTCCCAATAGTATATTTTAAACAGTGCTACTGCCAAGTAAATAATTCTAAAGCAAGTTATAAATATAGGCAAGACAAATCCTTTTTCAGAAGAATTTATGAGGCCATGCATTTCAGCAAGCCATCTATGTAGTGCCCCACAGCATTTTAGCTGTTACCTTAAACTCACTAGAAAACACCCATAAATCAAACAGGCGCCACCTATTATATACTTCCCCTCTACTATAAGGGGGAAAAAGTGATATCACAAGGAGGCTCCTATGCATGAATGAAGTGTATTGAAATAGCCCCATGTGAAATCACTTGAGCTGGGGGTTCCACATGACATCACTGCAAAGATACACGACAGATTTCTTGTTGATAGAACCACTACTTAGAGGTATCAGACAACTTTTAAGGCTTGCCTCATACATCTTTTTTAAAAAAGAAATGTTTATCTTTGCAGGCTTACTTCATGACTTCATGTAGAAAATAATGACTTCACACACACACACACACACACACACACACACACACACACTGTTGATTGGCATGCCTTTTATAAAAACATTTATTTGGAATAAAACTAAAAGATGTGACTTAGTTGGAATTAATACAAAATATTATTGATAGTAAGAGTTTCTGTACTTTTTGGCTCTTCCAAGAAAATCGTCTTATACCAAGTCAGATCATTGATCCAATAGGTTCAATATTACTAACATTGAGTGATAGCAGCAATTAAGGGTTCTCCTCCAATTCTCTGGAGATGCCAAGGACTGAACTGGGAGCCTTTCAATGAACTAGAGCTCTCCCTTTTACATTTGTGTGCCTTGTAAACAATAGGCATCCCTTGCAGAAAGTTTATTTAGCTGGCCGCCCCCACAAAGTACCCATATCCAAGCCCATTGCACCAAATTTGGTCAGAAGTCTTTCCTGGAGCAGCAAATATCTGAACAATACTTCCCCAATTCCCTGAAAAGTAACTTGGTAAAAAATTAAGTTATGTATTGTTGAAGGCTTTCATGGCCGGAATCACTGTGGACAACTGGTGTTGACATTAGCAGAGGCACTCACACAACTAGGAAGAAGGAAGGGGGGAACCGCCCATTTCTTCTCATTGACTATGTGGACACCCTGCAGCTTTCAGAGTTCTGTGGTAATCCGGCAGCAACGACAACACAGACAGTGTGGTGGCCCAAAAGGCCAAAGCTATCTTGGACCAGCTGGACCATCTGTATTCCATTCCACCATCAGATTGGAGATAGCTTGTGACCAGTTCTGGGGCCTCCAGAGTCTGCTGCATATTGGTGGCCAGAATAGGTGGCCAGTGTAGATGAGCCAAAAGACTCTGGAAGACCAGCATTTAAATTCCATGGGGTGATCTTGGGCAAGTCATCCTCTTTGAGCCTTAGAGGAAGAAAACAACAAACTTCCAATAAATAAGTCTTACCAAGTAAGCCCTAGAATATGTTGCTATGGGTTGGTGACTTGAAGACACACAACAACAGTAACAATATGTTGTTACAGAAAATCACTTATTAAATAATAATTTCCCACACTGGACATACAAGGACCTAGGGAGCTAATGGGGTAGAGAAATACGAGTAGGAGAGTGCTCTTCAAAATGTGGACAGACTATAGAACATCTCATTACTGGCTAAGCTACACATGAGAGTGTGGCAGACCATAATTATGTGTAGTTTTGTGTATACAGTTAAATAACCAGCAAGGTAAGTCACCACATGGTAAATGCTCATCTGAATTCAGCCACAGAGTGTGCAAACCTGCTGATTGAACCATATTGTCAACTCAAGAGGAAAAAATAATCCAGTGGCTACATTTGAGCAATCTCCAACTCCAGCAACTCCCACTGGCGGGTAACGTGGGAGTTTGTAAGGAAAGTATTGCGACGTAACTTTATTTTAGGTTCAAAGGTGGAAAAAAACTTTAAACCTTTAGAGCATACAGCAGCGCCATTCAGGATTTGCCAGCATTTCCATTATGAACCACAATTTTCAAGAGCTTATAACTCGGCTGTGAAAACTGGTTTTCAGATCAAACTTGAAATAAAGCATATCCCTGTGGATTTATTTCTTCTCAATGTTCTTGTTATTCATTTTTCGGGGAGAGTGATAAAAGTCAGATAAGCAAATAAAAAAAGGCTAAGTAAGTAAGATCTGATGCCTACTGACTTCTGTGCCACTTTCTGCGCTCTAAGTAATTTCTCACTATAAATATCTATTTCTAAAGCACATACAAAAACAAAGTAGAACAAGGTTTCAGAACTGGGAAACTTGAAAACTTCCAAATGCTGTTGGAATATAGTTGTCATAATCTCCAACCACAAATCATGCTGACTAATGGGCACTGGAGTTATAATAACTGTGAGCAGGCATTTGAAAAATAGAGCAGAAATTGGGAATAATGTATAAAAAAATTACATGGAACACATGCTGGAAATGTAACTCACGTGAGGGGAGCTTTTACCTCATGTGGTGGTCTTGTAAAGAAGCCATCTTATATTAAAAGATGATACACAAATAGAGTAAAAAAATTAAAAATGAAATTCCCAAAGAAACCAGAGTATTTATTAGGAATAACAAAGAGATAGATTTAGATCTAAATAAGGATATACTATTTATCCTCCTTCTTCCTTTTTCTCCCATCTTCACTTTATTCCCCTTCCACCCCAACATTTTTCCTGCTTTTTCCCTATTTTATGTAAAAACTTTTATTGAAAATCATTACAAAAATAATTAAAAGAAAAGAAAAATAGAGCAGTGCAGGAATGCTAATATAGAAAATGTGCAATTTGACTACAGAATGGCCATAGACTCTTACTCTGGATGATGTCATTCATTGAAATGTATTTTAATTGTGTTTTTTATGTTTTAATTTTAATTCATGTTTTTAGATGATATTGTGTGTTTTAAGGCACCATGGAGGTGTGATTGTAAGCCACCTGGGGCCCCCCCTGGGGGTAAAGAAAGGCAGGATAAAATGAGGTAAATAAATAATAATAAATAAACTGGATTATTTATTCTGGGTTAAATGCATAATAAAATAAGAGAAGAGGGAAAAGGAAGATAATGGTGATGCTTTGATTTATTTGTATCCCTCCTTTCCAATAAAGGGACTCAAGGCAGCTAACAACATATTCAAATAATAAAAATTAAAAACTATACAAAAATCCAAAAAATATAACTATAACATTAAAAACAATTAAACAATTTGTAATTAAAATATTAAACACTGACAATATTAAAATTCATTAGAAACTACAAAAACTATTTTTAAAAATTCAGTCAAATACAATTACCAGTCCAACCCTCATTGATTTATAAAGATCTGATGGGACAGAACACTCACCTCTGGACAGAAGGGCCAACCGTATGGCTGAAGGGGACATTTGAACCTCCCCGTCAAAAAGACCAGGGATCTCCTAGACTTTTTTGTTGTTGCAAGAAATGCCCTTTTCTGTATATAAAATATCTTCTGTAGAAAACAATCATGTGCAGTTTTTGCATAGAAAAAGTCTGAAACTATGAAGATATTCTTTAGATCAAAATTCATCTTGTCAGTTTTTCAACACACAAGAAACATGGTTTGTGATAATTATTTTTTTTAATACAATACAATTTCACTTCTATCAGGACCAGTTCCCACGTCTGAAAAACGTTGTTCTTAGAATTTTCTAGGTACTCCAGATGACATGGTATGTTTCAGTTGGAAATTGCCATAGAATAATAGACAAACTGAATTGGAAAATGACCCAGGAACGGCCCAAGATGATGGAACGGATAAGGATTTGAATGTGAGGATATAGTTTTATGTTTTTAAAATTATTATGATGCACTGTTTTTATGTCTAATTGCACTATAATGTTCTTCTGTTTATCAATGTATGTATTTTATGGCATCAAATTGTGCCGACTGTGTACGCCGTTCTGCGTCGCCTTCGGGCTGATATGAGCGGGGTAGAAATAATGCAAATAAATAAATAAATAGAATAGAATAGAGGATCTAGCAAATCTCTACCAAGGGTACCTTTATAATAATTTGCTAGGTCCTCCATCATGACTCCATGGCAATTTATTGGAGAAGAAATTCATTTCACTAGGTCGTACTTTTATCCATGTTTTCCTGTGTTCATTTTAAGTTCAGGAACATATCTCTTACAGATACAGGGGTTGCACTGTATTCTTTCCAATCCACTATTTCATTTTCATGTGATGATGGATTCATGTTCACTTAAAGTAAGCCTCCTAGGGCATCTTAGAAGTAAGTAAAAACATGAGGTAGTTCATAAAAGGTCATCCAGAAATTTTGACAGCAGACTGGAGATTTAAGCTTGGATTTCTCCAATCGTAATTCTATCTCTGAATGCAGGCTTTTGGATCAAATTAGAACTTCCTTATGGTGTCCCTAATGGATGTCCAACTCAGAAAAGTGCAACAAGAATATGCTCCCAGAATTAAGAATAAGATTGTGGCTTCTCCTGGGGAATTGATCTTAGTTTAGATATTTTATTACAATCAATGCAGACTTTACGCCAGAAATGATGTGATATGCCAAATCATAATTTTGTATTAAATCCACGAAAGAGCAATATCTATGTTCCCTGCAAGAGTAATGAGACAAATTATCTTTCCCCTTGTACAGTAGCTAAATCACACAAAACTTGATTTAGCCTTTAGGCAGATAGAAGCACACTGTGATGCAGGTTTATGTAGAAGAGCATTTCCCTATGCAAAATAAAATAGGCCTAGATCCCTAGCTGTAATGAAATGGCAATATCTCAGCTTAGACCTGGGGTTGGGAAACCTGTGAACCTCAGTAGACAAAAATTTATGTCAAACATTACTCAAAATGTCATGAGATTACAGTAGTAGGCTTTTAAAACTACTTGTTGAAATATCTCATATTTTGAACTTCAACTCCCAGAATCCCAGCCACCTTACCAGCCCCCGGTGGCGCAGTGGGTTAAAGCACTGTGCCGACAGGACTGAAGACCGACAGGTCACAGGTTCAAATCCGGGGAGAGGTGGATGAGCTTCCTCTATTAGCTCCAGCTCCTCATGCGGGGACATGAGAGAAGCCTCCCACAAGGATGATAAAACATCAAAAATCATCCAGGTGTCCCCTGGGCAACGTCCTTGAACACGGCCAATTCTCTCACAACAGGAGCGGTTACTCCTGGCACGACAAAAAAAAAAAAAAAAAAAAGAAAAAGAAAAAAGGAAAAAAAAAAGAACAGCTGTTAGGAATTGTGGGACTTGAAGTCCAAAAGACTTGGAGGGCCAAAGTTTGCCCAAGCCTGGTGCACACAAACAAACTCATACTCTTTTTGTACATGTATGGAAAATATGAAAGCAGGGAAGTGAGATCATAGATTTTTGCAAACTCCCCAATATCAGAACCTCTGAGGAGGTCTCTAGTCCCCAAGATGGGTCTGGGGTAATCAAGTATAGCTGAAGCCAATGGCACACGAAGTAATAGTCACTCTTGGACTTGCAGAATTTCTTTTAATGTCTTCCAGATGACAGACTCTTATTTTCTCCCATTCTGGGTCTTCATAGGTAATGGTTTCACCTCTTGCAATGCATCAGCAGTGATTGCTATTACTTCATCGTTTGAACCTGACAAATGATCAGTTTCCAATGTAAAAAGTACTATTTACATATTTACTTACCAAGAACATAACAAAAGCAGTTCTGTAGTCCTGACGACAGGATCACAAATTCTCCTACCACATGAAGAATATTAGAAAAGTCAGTTGTCTGGCATTAATCAAACACACTTTCAGAACATTTGCTTTCATAGTGAGGAAAGGCTTGCCATTCTAACGATAGCACTGCCAGGCCTTTAGAAGACTCCATTATTTTGCTTACAGAAGCATCAACTTTTAAGAAAAAAAAAAGAGGTGAGATCGAGCCAAAGATGATTTCATTACACATTTACAGAAGGTTTGCCTATTATCTTTTCTTTTTCACTTTTTGTCAGCACAAATGCCCTGCAGTCTTTGGAATAATTTTGGTTATAATCATCATATCATCAATGCAGCTATGACTTCTGGAAGTTAAGTCACACTAAATTATATAACATAAATAAGAGTGCCTCTTTTAAAAAAGTCCATATATGGTAACAATTCTATCTTCCCATCTCATCATCTTGTTTTGATGGAAATAAACTGAAGAACAACATAATCAAGTTTTGGCTAAGTTGTGCAGTACAAGTGGGACCTGCAACAAAACACTGCATTGTGGGATGCTCCTGTCCTGTGTTTCAAGGACTTAAGAATGCAGTTCTCCAGGAGACTTCATTCCATTTCTTTCAACACCAAACTCTGATTGCTGATTTTGTTGAGTTGTACTTAAGTTTTATGTAACCCACTTCACCAGGATCCCCACCCCAAAAACTGGTATTGAATATGTTATGGGGCATTTTCAACCCCTAGTGACAATTGCAATGTACTGTAGACCAGACATGAGTTTAGTACAGTGGACCACTCTGGAGACCAGGATTCCATTTCCCACTTGACCATAGAAACCATTCTGTGACCTTGGGTAAGTCATACACTCAGCTCCAGAAAATCCCATGCTAGGTTCATATTAAGATGGCCATTGTGAGAAACATTTTGAAAACGTTCACTACTTCACTAACACACACACGTTTCCCATTATAACGAACAGGAATTTTTAATGTTTGATAAATCTTTTTAATGCTATTCTATATAAGAAGATACAGACAAACAAGATCAGGAAAATTTAAGGAATAAACCTAAAATTTATACTTCCAAAAGTTTAATAATATATTAATATTCTAATTGATATAGGTTGAGCATCCCTCATTTAGAAACCCAGAATCTAAAATATTCCAGAAACCGACATTGTCCACATGGATAGCTAAGATAATGAGATTTGCTTTCTGATCGTTCATGGACAAAATTATTTAAAATACTAAATAAAATTACCTTTACATTATGTTTATAAGGTGCATGTGAAAAATCAATAAATCTCATGTTTAGACTTGGGCTTCATCTCCAGGATATCTAACTTTGTATATCTATGCAAATATAGTTATTTCAACATCCAAAAACTATAAAATCTAAAAAAACTTCTGGTCCCAAGCTTTTCTGATAAGAGATACTCAACTTGCATATGAGATACGTGTTCCATTATTGATCATCGTTCAGCACTGTTCTGGTAATTTCTTCAAAATCCATGCTTGCAGTTTTTCTAGTTCACTTTTATTCATTTCATGATAAAGATTTGGTAAACTCAAAAATGTAGTTGTTACACCCAGAGAAGTTAACATCTTGTTGGTTTCTTCACCCCAAGAATACAAAACTAGCTCATCAGCAGTTCCATGACACTGAAATAATTCGGGGAGTTCTTGTCCTTCCTTTTTTAGTGCCTATATGCAGAAAAGACATCACTTTGTTACCAATCATTGAACAAGTGAACAGAAATGAGTAACTAATTTAATTCAACTTGATTCATATAACACCTTTTCCCCAATATGAGACCAGAGGCAGCTCACAAATGCAAGTTAAAACTATGACAAAGGTTACAAAGGTTAGGAGCAATTAAACAATTCAATTAAAATATTAATTTAAGAGATTTGAGACCATGGAAAATATATTAATGGAAAAATACCAATGCATGCAAAGCACATCCTAATTAACAGACATTCTGCAGACAGGGAAGATTTCTGCCACCATATATGCATATTCAGATGATGTAATCAGTTAGGAGAGGATCATTTCTTTTTCACAAGGAAATGAAGTAGCAATCAACACATATTTTGGCATTTTGGGCAACCAATGCTCATTGAAGAATGACAACTGTGAACTCTTTTTATGAGAACCAATCCTTGAAGGCAATCTCCACATATAGCCCCCTCCGCAAAGGTATTTGGGTAGAAGACAAAAGGTGGGCTCCACAAATCTGCTGTTTCGTAAACTATGGGCTATGACCCCAAATGGGATCCTGTCACTGAATGGTGGGGGCTGCAAAAAGAAATTGGCCAGATGGTTGATGACCCTCACCATAAAATTATTTTCATTGCTACTTCATAACTGCAATTTTGCTACTGGTATTTACATTATGAATTGTATGATAAACAATTGACAAACACCTACCTGATAAACAACAGAGTTCTTATTGAGGAAGCTTGAAAGAGCAAATACTCCTGCCACATCTTGATGATACCCATAAGCAAGATGCATTGCCATGCCTCCACCCATTGAAAATCCACCTATGGAATTTGAAAATAAAAATAGACAACAAAGAGGATAGTGAATCCAAATGTTTAGGAAATCTGCAAATTGCTTTCTACTTCCTAGCATGGACACACATGTACAGCAACTTTAAGTAAGCTGCATATTCAAGCTATATAGAGGTTACAACACCGTCTAGCTTGGATATAAACTTACCAAATGTCAACAAGGGCTATGCAAACTTCTTAAAGATTTGTACTTAAGGAAGCCCAGATCATTTTTTTTAAAAGAAAAAGACATTTCCAATCATTTCAAGCCTATTTTGCAAACTTTCCTTTCCTTTCTTTTCTCCTACTAGCTCACTAGATAGCAAACCACGTACAACATCTATTTTGCTGGAGGTACAGGCAGTCCCTGAGTCACAAACATCTGATTTGCAAACGACTCATAGTTAAGAACAAGGGTGAGGCAACAGAAAGTGAGAGATCTGCCCCTAGGATGGGAAATTCACTTATTATTGTTGCTGTTATTAATATTATCATTATTTACATCCCGCCTTTCTCCCCACGGTGACTCAAGGTGCCTAACATCTATCCACACCAAACAGTTTAAAAAGAGCAATACAAAAGTAAAAAAAAAACCAAAAACAATTAAATAATAACAATGTGGTAAAAACAGAATTAAAATACAGCAAATGCATTAAAATTGCCTTTAAAACAGACATCCCCCCTCCCCCCATCCTCTTCAGAGCCTCCAAAAGCCTCTTGATCTGTTTGTGGAAGGCCAGCAGGGATGGGGTCATTCCATGAAAGAGTTACCATAGGAAAAGGTGTGTCAACCGAAGCTTTCTCACCAATACCTGTTTCCACAAGCCAAATTTTTCAAAATCCAATTATCACAGGGACAGATAGTGAAGTGAAACAAACACCACAAGGTGTTAACCCTTCCCTACGCTATCCAAAGCGAAAAATATGGATTTTTAGCTGGAGTTACACTTTAAAAATGTACCTATTCCAACTTGCATACAAATTCAACTTAAGAACAAATCTACATACTCTATTTTGTTTCTAACTTGGGTACTGCCCGAATTAGCACTTTTGCTCCATGATTCTTGTCTTTGTTTGGATTTTCCTTAACCAAGGAATTTGGCCACTCCATATTCTTCCTAGTATAAAGTGGGAAGGTTTCTTCCTCCTTGAGTCAAGCTTTATCTTTCTCCTGTCTTTTGCTCAAGGAAAGACTGTAGCCCGTTGGAAGAATAGGGACCTTGCTTGCAGATGGGCCATGGGTCAATCCATGGAGTTTCCCCTATCCCTGGGAAAGATTTCTTGAGATCCCACAAAGTGGCAATACTGACAACAGAATGGACATTGTGGACAAAAATTACAGACAACCTGACCTGTTATAAAGTTCCTATCTGGATTGTGAGAAAGCACTTTGATGCAGACTCCAGCATAAAATAACATACTCACAGAGAAGTTGGTTCAGTTTGCAAATCACAAATTTAGAAACTGCCTGGAATTCATCTTGCTTCATCTACTCTAGGAGAATATGAGGCCCTCCAGATGTTCTTGGCCTGTAACCAGCAGCATTCCTCACCATTGACTGTGCTGGATAAGGCTGCTGGGACTAACATCTGGACAGTCACACAATTCCCACCCGATTTTTTTAGATTTGCTATTATATGACCACTACTAACTCAGATTAAAATGACATTGGGTGAACTTTCAAACTAATTTCATATGTTCAGTGTGGATTTCAGAGTGTTCCTTTTTTATTCTTAACCCACATTGGTGACAGTCACATGCAACAATGGGACTCAGTAGAGGAGGAGGAGGGTATATGTGTCATACGAGAGAGGGAAAAGGCCAGGGGCATGCATGATCTCATAGCTCCTGATTATTCAGCTCTGGATTTCATTTCAAGCCTGGATCAAGCCAAAAACTCATTTATTTCATGAGAGTATCTGCTCTTTTCTAGGTTTATCATTGCGATTCCACAATGATGCATACTTAATTATGGACAGATGGCTGTAGGTATACAGAAAACACATCTTTCCAGAACTCTCTTATAAATCGCAACTGGCGTTAGCACTAACATTTGTCTAATTCTGCTTTCCTGCAATTGCTCTAATTTTTGGATTTACATTATTAATATATGTCTACCATCCACTAGAAAGTCATTATTATTTTAAGGTATTTATTCTACTGAAGAAGGGCAACAAAGCTTTAAACTTTTTTGACCAGGGAGCATGTGCTGAGGGACTCCTTTGATCAGGGACCACTCTCCAAAATTATGACCAAAAGGTTATGAATTGGTTTTTGGTCAACTTTAGATTTGGTTTGGTCATTTGGGGTGCTGATTCAGAAAACTGCATTGGATAGACCACATGAGATCAAGTTTCTGATACAGAACATATGCCATCCAGTAGTTGCCATCTGCTGGCCCACAGAAAACTATATTTAATAAGGTTCGACACTATAAGAGGGTTTTGAGAGACCAGTCGTTCTCATTGCCATGGTGTAGTAATGGTGAGGACGCGATCCATATTTTAGTTCTTGCGGACCAGTGGTGGTCCAAGGACCACAGGTTGGGAACAACTGCTTTAAACACTCTGAGGATTTAGATCAACTATTCTGAAAGAAAAAAAAAGTTCTACCCATGTATTAAGCTTCAGGCTATAATGCTAACCTTCAAGGCAACGACAAATTAAATAGGAGGACAACACAACACACTGGTCAAAATGCTGAAACAGAAAACCTTACATATAAACTGATGGAACGGTTCAACTATGGAAATGTTGACAGATTAGCAACCAAACTATATTTTAAAATATAAACCACCATCAGCCACAAGCTTCAATCTACACTTTCTTCTTGAAAAGATAAATGTCTTTGCTGTTCACAAGCTTTTTGCTTATTTTATTGTGCAAGTCAGTGAAGGATGCCATCATCCCAAATCCTCATAAAAATACGGTGGAAAAGATATGTTCTGTATGAATATGCACATACCCACTTCTAGACACTAGTGCATATTGTGCATACATAAAATGAAGTATATTTTGATGCAGGAGGAAAATGGGGCACACTGAAAGCTCATTACTAATTTTCAAATGATTTAATCACCCCCTCTTTCATTTTTTTTTGCATGTATTTAGTCACTAGCTGGCAAAGCAGCTTGCCATTACTCACCACCCGAGTCTGATAATGCAGCCACCTTCTCTGAGGAATGCATTAAGCAAGGGGGCTTTCATGAGGCTCCTGAAAGTGAGGAAAAACCAGAGCTTGGAAAACGTTTTTGGGGAAACAAACTTCCTGACACCACAGTCCAAAACTAGTAACTTTCCCAAGCTCTGAAGAAAACTGAAAGTTAAAGACTGGTGTGATGAATACTGGTTTTCAGAACACCTACAGCTTCTTCCTCACTAATGCAGATGTAGCTGCTAGACTGCAGACTGGGAAACCATTCAGAAACTGTGTCACACTGGGTTTAAAGGAATTCCACTGGCTGCCAATGTATTTCTGGTCACAGTTAAAGGTGCTGGTGCCCTAAATGGCTTGGGACCTCAATGCTTCTTTTTTTGCATGTGTACCCAAGAACTCAGGTCTATTAGTAAGGCTCTTTCCATGCCTGCTAGTGTAGAAATTCATGATAAAAAGACATACAGCATGGCCTTCTGAGCTGTGGCACTCCAATTATGAAATGCCCTTGCCTCAGAGGCCTGTCTGACATTAATACTTATGTCACTCTGGCACCAAGTCAGAATATGACTTTTTAGTAAACCTCCAGAGTTGTACTCCAAAGGTCAAACAACACCCCCCCCCCCCGGTTCATGGACTGGGATAGAGAAGGTGTGGCTTATATGAAGTCCCAAACCCTTATTTTATTCCATATTCCTTGAATCACCAGTACCAGGTCTCCTCCACCAGTACCTTGCCTCATTCCTTGGAAAGATCAATATCACTTCTACCTCTTCAGGGGGTGCAAGGTTTACTAGGTTCTTGTGGGTTTTTTCAGGCAAGCATCCTCAGAGGTAGTGAGGTCTGTTGGAATCAATAGACCTCACTACCTCTGAGGATGCTTGCCATAGATGCAGGCGAAACGTCAGGAGAAATGCCTCTAGAACATGGCCCTATAGCCCGAAAAACCCACAAGAACCTAGTGATTCCAGCCATGAAAGCCTTCGACAATACGGTGCAAGGTTTGTTTCCAAACCACTTGAAAACCACTATAGAAAACCCCAGCAACCTGATGGACAAAACCACAAATGATTTCTGGTTGCAATTTTGCTGCATGAGGCAGTATGGCCTATGACTGGTACAGCACAGAAAGACCCCCCCCCCCCCCCCCCCACCACTACCCACTACAGCTTTCCTCCACTGAATATTCTGGAGTCAAAGTTTTGCAGCCTCTATAAACACTGAGTGTAGTTGCAGGCAAAAGGGGGTGATTTCAATGTCACTACCTTACTATGTAACTCAACAAGAAATTGTATACTCTTGTGTTTAACATAATTTGTAACATACACAGAGAGAAAGACAAATCAAAGGAAATCTCAACCAACTTTTAATATCTAAACTAAAATCTAAAAATAAAGTATCTATTACAGTATCTTAGACATGCAAAACACTCCTCGGATTAATGAAAACACACAACATGCAGTGGCTCAACCAATTACATCATTGTAACAGTCTACAGCAGAGTTTCTTGGTCTATAGACTGAGCTATTGATTTTCTTGGTGTATTTCTGAATTTTATATAGACCTCTTTGCCCAAGAACACAAACATTAAATGTGATGTTTCATATTCAAATGTGACTTTGATTCTGCACCATCAGGGTGGGAAACTTCCAGGCAATGAGACTCTTCCGGGGAACTCTCCAAGAACAACACAACAGCCATTGAAATCAGGTAGTGGTTGATGTATTGGCCACAAGATTTGCTGATGAAACTCAGTGGCCACTGTGGTAGTTCTCTATTGCAAGGAGGGTATCAGAACATTCACCCACATCAGCAAGACCAAAAGACAGAACATTTGT